TTTTATAAGCTAAGGAAGTAAATTGACGAAAGCGGCCTATTTGTTTATTACAATTTTGTATAGAACACGGACCTTCAATTTTTTTTTTTGCCATTGCGATATATGCAATAATTAAATGTGATACAAAAAAAAAAATCACGCGTAATTATTTAACTAATCTAACCAACCAATCACAATCGATGATCTTCAGCCAATGATATCAAACTTTACCTATGCTCCAATTGTTAAAAAAAAATATATGTTGGACCGCAACTTACAGCTAAATAAAATAAAATAAAATAAAAATATATAATCCACGAATAATGCATCTGCTTTCCGAATGTCTTCGCGCTTTGAAATATCCTGGTAAAGCAAGATATGCTCCTGTTTCCTTTTGTTTTCTTATAATAATATAACATGATTAAAAATACTATATGTAGCTTTCTGGAAGAGAGAGGATTGCCCCTCTCTCATAAAATTTTTAGAGTCACGATTACGTGATGGTGATATTAATGATGCAAAAACAGAACACCATAGTTATAAAACAGAACTAAATATTATCGCAAAATACTATGCTGAATCATCCGAGATCGCGCAGAAAGTACAAAAATGGAAAGATATCTTTAAGGCAAGTTGATTGTTTGTCTACGCCTGTGTTGCATTGGTCCGTCACCAACTACCCTGTCAAGCGCTGTTTGGCAGTGGGAAAGAGCGCGTTTCTGTTGATGAGCAGGCAGTAAATTGTATGTTTGTGTCCAATAAGCAACGAACTCACCAACTACCCTGTCAAGCGTTGTTTGGCAGGGGAAAGAGCGCGTTTCTGTTGGTGAGCAGGCAGTAGCCTTTCAAGCAAGTGGTTATTTTTTTTTACTAATTATTCTTATTATATTAGAAAGATAAACATTCTAAAGAAATTAATCTTTTCTGGAATCTACACCAAAACATTCATACTGAGATCAAGTTACGTGAGGAAAAAGCACAACTACAGCAAGTAAGTTGTCTTTATGGTATATTTCGAAAAATTTTAATGGATTTTGTTTTGACAATACTTGACAATATTGAAGAGAAAACTGAACGATTTGAAAGATCAAATCAGTATTGAACAGGTGAGTATTTTGGCTTGACACTTTATTGCATCTGTTCTTAATGTTTGTATACTGAAAGGTTCATTTTTAGACGCAACATGTACTGGACACAACAAAGGAAACGCTGTCCCAAAACCTAACATTACAAAAAACAGTCATTAAACAGCACTTGTTGGGTGAGCCGAATGTTGAGAATTTGGAATTGATAATCGGACAAAAACGCAATTGCGTAAGTATTTGATTAAATTTTTTTCCGCATTCACAGTAAAATGATATTTTTTTTTCCTTTTCATTTAGGGTTCAGCTTTCCCAAAAAATAAGGACACGAATCTTGATTATGATGATCATGAGAGAAGGTATCGGCAAAACTCACCACAGAAGAGGCAATGCACGTAAGTTTCATCACGTTCGTCATTCATTGTTGATGTCTGTTATTAACACACTATCATTCATTTGGTTTAAGCGAACCAATTGCGGATGCCGAAAACAATCCGTTTTTTGAATCAGAGAATAATTTGGACAAAGAGAAGGTATGAAATAAATATCCTAGGAGTTAAATAGTCATCAATAACATATCAACAAATAATTTGGAACGATCCTTTTTTAGGATAAGTCTAAATCACAATCTATCTCTTCACCTGAGAATGAGAATACTCCTCTGATTCATAATAACGTTGAAGACGAGTCACAACAATGTAATGACGATGAATCGTATAGTGAAGTATCCTCGAATTCGTATGATGAAGACTATTATTCAAATTGCGAACTATCTGAGGTAGCTTAGCCTTTATTTTGTCTGTATATAAAATATATTCTAATTGCTATCTGATCTTCCAGGAAGTGAAGCGTTTGGACGTGAATGATGCACTAATTCGGAATATCTTTCTTGAAGTTCTACATCAATTCCGATCCAAGGATCTTGAATCAGGAAAATCAATAATGGATTCGAATGTTTTAAACGGAATAATTGACATAACTGATTCTAGAGTGAAGGAAAGTATACGATCAAAGTTTAATGAAGGACAGCAAACATGGTTAAATAAGGTGCTAGAAAAAGAAACTTGGGACATAACACCTGAGTTTAAGGATTACTGTAGTCAGTTTACGGAAGATACGTGCGACCGTGTCCACACTCCCACTCTTGTACGAAAATCTTTTGTTGTAGGACGCTTTGATCCTTTCCTTCACGAAGGGCATGACATAGCGCAACAGTTAATGACGCATTTGTATGTAGTTATATATTTTTTCTTTGTTGTAAACCTATGTCTCAAAGTGTTACTAATATTAATGGTGAACAGTTCTGTATGTCTGGAAGCCCCAACCAATTCTGAATCAAAATCACCAAACCTCGAAAGGACATTCGCAATAGATACAACTATATACATTGTGAATAGGCTCTTCAGGATGCACCAAGATGTGTTGGATCGGAATTGGTAAGTGTCAATTTTGAATTTCCAATAAGTTTGAGTTATATCTTACCGGGATTTACCTTCCCGTGTATGCGAAAACTCTATTTTCTTTTATTTGATTTAGGATGGAAATGCTCACTGCAGATACAAAAAATCACAAGATCGATGGTACTTTGATAGCTCTTAAGACAAGAAAAAAGGACCATCAGACAATAGGAATTGTTGAATTCTCAAGAGGTAAAAAAGCCCCCGATTCCAAAGATGTTGATGATAAGGTAAAGCTTAGCCGTAATGCCATGCGAATTTTGAACAAACTACTTGAAACAATTTCTTGTAAGAGAGCTCGTGTGTATACAATTCAGTGCGTAAGTAAGTATCATGGTACGGTAGAAAATTCTTGGCTTTACATATTTTTTTTTTCAGCTTACATAATTTTTTTCTAAGATGGACGAATCCATATAAGATATATGGTTCGACCCCTTCCATCAGTTTACCTCTACAATGAATTTGTAAACTTGAAGCTTCCTAATACATTTAACGATATGGAACAATTCTCTTTGGACATAAAAATCCTCATGGATTTCCAGGTAACAAATTGATGAATATTCATAGAGCCCTAGTAGGTTACTGATGATGCTTGGTTTTGTTTTTACAGAAAGATGTTTTAAAGATGGTCAAGTCGGTGAACAAGCCCACTATAAATGAGAATGTATACAAATCCGAAGTTGAAACGACTCCACAGAAGGGAAAGAAGGCTAAAAGGAAAGGCGGTGTATCTGCTTAATATTTTTCTCAAAATATGGAACATGTGAATTTTATAACCGTTAGTCACATTCCCTAATTTCTGAATGGTCAATAATAAGCAGCGTTAATTTAGCGTTTATGACATGTATGAAGTTTAAAGTTGATCCACCTACATCAGGCTAGTGTTGGTAATCGACTTGGTTTCCCTATGCCTGATCGGCTTCTGTATTTCATCAAAGGTCTTCTATCTTAATAAATGCAATATTATCTATGCTGTAATAAATAGAATAATTTGTCTAATTGTTTAATCGCCTAATGGTATTACAGAAAACCAAAAATATATACGAGGATAGGAACAAACAAGATCAATCGGGTGAAATCATTTAGTACCGATGTTATGCCTAGTAGTGTTAATTCTCATGCTGTCACGTGACTACTGCACAATTAGTCTAGTTTTGACCTTTAACTTATAAATGCTGTGTGACAAATTAAACTGCCCCCTCAACCAATCATCTTGTGATTTGAAAAAAACTCAGCACCATGCCAGTGCCTGTGATACTATATACAGTATGTCTAAAAATAATTTAGCTGTCATAACGCTAAAAATGAATCTGATATTTATTATAGTATAATATTGCTAAATCAGCTAAAATCGATAAAAAACACTATAAATCAATAAAATTGTTATATTCTGTTATAATCTAGCAAAACGCTAATATGGATTTGGATAGTAGAGCCTGTTATAAGCTTAGTTCAGTTAGACTTGGTAATGTAAACTTTGAAGAATATCGAAGGATATTTGAAGTATTATGTTTTTTAGGTAAATGATATGATCATGAAACGCCAGAAATGTGGTGCTCTCGTATCTGTGATCCATTTAAGAAAATACTTAAAGAGAATCCAAGAACCCTTTCTAAGAATGGATATATTATAATGTGTGGAAAGCATTATAAAAATGATAAAGTCCATGCTCATTGAACAAATTATATATATTGTAGTGTATGTGACTCCTTAGTTTTCATACCTGCAACTATTTATAGCGACTGTCGCTATCATGATAGCCACTTAAAAAGATGTATTTCTAGAAATACTATTTCGAATGAACATGAAAGAAGAAAAGAAATTCTCCAATCTATTGATAGAAGAGAATTTCATATCTGGCAATATGAACAATTCATATTACAAGAAGAGGCTAAAATTAATCATCTTCATTTAGAGCTTTTCTTCCAATCAACTTCATACTCAGAAAAGGATAGATTGGCATTGGTATCATATGATTATGATTTGAATTTTACGGCTAGCTATGAAAATTATGCACAATCTAAAGCAAAAGATACTATGCCAAATGCTCCAAATTTTGAGCTAACTTATATTTTACCTACTAGACAAGAAACGATTTTATCAACTTCTTATCAATCATCAAGTCCTAGCCAAAGGCGCTCAGAACAAGGGATCACAAGTGAAATATTTATCTCATCTCGATATGCTAAACAAAATAACTTATTATCATCTATAGACCATCTTAATCAGCTCGCATTAAGATTGAGAGATGGTACAAAAATCACATTCGTTTAACTGATTTAACTGAAAATTAATATCATTTAGCCAAATATTACTTATTCTTTATTTTTTGCACTATATAATCTGCATATATGGTCGCCTAGTATAATTGGCCAAAGACACTATGCATGAAATGCTTGCGTGCGCAAAAAAAACCTGATCTGCCTATTCTAGGTTAGATCTTATAATATATAGCTATTATAGTGAAGTATTTCAGGAAGATTAATTAAGCGATCTTGGGGATTCTTAATTTCTAAATACTATAATTATGGCTTTGAAAATTTCTATGCAACAGTTATTCAGCGAGCTTATAGGAATTATAAAAAGAGACCTAAATCTTTGGCAAAACAGATTTGGGAGGCGGTGAGGAATGATAGTACTCCTGATAATAAGAAATATTTAGGTATAACTTCTTGCATTCCTTATATTGACTGAGAATTTGAGAAGAAAAATCAATTATATGTGAGATTAGCTAATGTAACATATGATATTGTTTTTAAAATATTATACCAGCGAGGCTATATAATCATTAGAGGTTCAGATTGGACTAACCAGTTAAAGTGGCTACAGAATCCTGAATATTATCGTATTGATAAAGATAACATTGAATATCTCATTAGAGTTACAGAATGTGAGAAATATAAGGTTAATTCATGGTCTGTAAAATCAATCTGTGAGCGTCTTAGAATATAAATTCTTACACCTCTAGCAATGAAATTGACCAAAGGTGTATCACCAGTGACATCTATAAATTTTATAATACTTTATTTTTTTGTGAAATGAGTAGCTATATAATCTGCATGCATGATCGCTTAGTATACCTAATTGGTCGAAAGCGCTATGTATCACCTGCCGAATTTTTCAGATCAGTCCTTGACCCAGATACTGAATATTATCTTAATAAAATAATATATTGTTTAGCTACAATGCATGTATGCATGTGTGATACAATAAACACGTTTTGCAATCCTCGTTAAAGTGTATATGATGTAATAAGTGATATACCACAAATCATCTATAGCTCTGTATGACTGCTTGTGTGACGCTCTTGATCTATCGATCTGCGTGGTGAGATTACATCTCTTCCTGAAAAAAAATAATTTTTGAAGGAGTGGTAGAATAGCATTTATTGGGTATATGCTCCGGAGTTATAGAATATTTCTACTACTCTCCTATCAGAGCATATTTAGCTAAAGGCGTAAAGCATATAATGTTACTAGGCCTTTATCACTGAGCGGTTGAGCAAATGAAATAAAAAAAGTTCGTATATGCATATTCCCTAACGCCTTTGCAATGTTGAGATCTACAATGCACATTCCGTATGTCTTTTACTAACAAACATAAAATTTTAGCGCAAAGTGCCTCACATATTCTCTCACTTCGACTCCAACATAAACTCGGATTCAGAGAAGACGTGAATGGGAAAATTACAATACATTTAAAAAGGTAATATGGCGAAAAGGTATTGAAATTTACATTATTTTTATTTCGATTAGCAAGCTTCTAACATTATATTTTGACTATCTTCATCATTATGTCTTCAGAATATTTATACGTAAAAACTGTAGAATATTTGACCAGCGTAAAGACTGAACATTTAATGGTGGGCTCCGTTATTTACCAAGGATTAGAAAAAAATCCTTGGATTAGTAAAGACGAACTAAGAAGTGTTATAGAAAAAGTGGTTAATTTGATAAAAAAAACTTACATAGTGTAGATTTTGAACATTTTGGAAAACTTATTCAAATTATACCACAGGTACGCTATTTTATAGGTGAAATATTATGATCATATTAAATCGAATGATAAGTACACAGATAGTGGCACTTCTGAGGAGATAAGTATGTCAGTATAAAAACCCTATTAGCCTACCAATAGGATTTTCCTTGACGGTGTGAAGGGTTATTTATGCTGAAGTCCATGCTTATTTTAATGTGGTTAATATTGTGCCATATAAAGTTTCATTCGTGTAGTTAGGCTGTACTGAGTGATTTTTTTGTCTTGTTTTTTGACGACCGCGCGGTTATTTATATTTTCATTTGATGCATCAGCGGTTATCTAACTTATTTGTATATCTGCGTTAGTTCGATATTGCTTTTGATTATATTAGCAATTTGCAGGACGTTGGAGTTATAAAAACAGTATATTTTAAGAAAGGGTAGATGGTATGAATATATTTAATAACAATCTTTCGATTTGCAGAATAAAGAGAAGCCTCTTACTTCAGAACAGATTAAATACAATATAAATAAGTTGAAAGGAAAACTTGTTATATGTGGCACTATCTTTTTTTTTATCTTGCTGGCAAGTCAGATTAATATAAGGTATTTGTATTATTAGGCTGGAACATTAAAACTTTGCCAGAAGTTAGTAGTTATTTTAAATGGACTAATAATCTTCAAACTAACCTGAAAGATCCCTTTGGCTAGTCAAATCATAAGTGATGATTTGTTATTAGTAGCTCAATTATCAAAAAAACAAAAGAAAAAGTTTATGATACATATATTTCGCCAATACTCTCTTTTCTTGTCGGTGGAAGATAATCTAGATTATTTCTACCATCTAAAATTAATTATATTTATTCTAGAAACCAGTTAAAGAAATGGTGCCCTCAACAATGCTTCAAGGCGTAACAGAAGAATGTGTGAAATTCGTAACAAATTTCATACTACAAAGTATACCAAGGTTGCAAGAAGGATTAACACATGATGGGAACTAGAAGGAATGTGGCAATAAGCTTAATGAGGTCACGTTAAAAATTCTTGATATGTTGAAAAGTGTTTGGTGCAATCTGGCTTTTAATCCTGAATTTGTCGAAACGATGAATGAGGGTACCTATGTTAATAATGTAGTTGTCTCCGCAATACGTGCTACATTATTTGATAATCCCTTTGGAGAACATGCATTCATTAATACGTAAGTTTTTGTAATATCCTGCCTCTATGTTTACTATAGCAAGTTACGAATATTAAATTGATTTCTTTTTTAGTTTAAAATGCCAAAGTATAGCAAGTTCAGATAGAAGGAGTGACAGGCGTACTGGAAGACGACCAGATATAATGCTTATGTCAAAAGAGAGTGATAAACTTTACGAACTTATGTATGTAGAATGCTCTTGAATTTTTTGTAATAAGCAGAAAGAAGATGATGATAATGTGAAATTATGGTGCGAAACTAATGATGAAATATATTGGGTCCAAAAAAGTCGCAAACCTGAGAAGGGTCAATTCAGAATTATAGGGATGCAAGTAGCAGGGCAAAAGCTATGTCTGAATATTCTAATTAGAGACAAGGTTGAAGTACATCGTTATTACAAATTACGTGAATCTATGATTCCAATTCATTATACGTATGAACCTTCTGTTCTGGCTGAATTCATTAAAACTTTGTTAGTTTTGCGAAATATTTTAATTGTTAACATATCCATACTACGCAGTACTCTTTTATGTAAATTAAGTAGAATTTTAGAAGATAGTTTAACAGTAATATCTGATTAAGTTAAAATAGATAAATTGTATATACTATTAATAAAAAATCTCTTGGCAATTTTCTGAAATCGCGCGGTCCCACAAATTTTTTATCTTTTTCTTGGCAAAAGTGATCAGTATGATGAATCGTCATGTGCACGTAAAAAATTTTGTGAATAAAATCTTGGCAAATTTCGCTTACAGGCTGTGAGGGAAAACATATGATTTTTTACTTTGAATATTAACATACTAATACTATATTACGCAAGCATGCAATCTGAAATAGATGAGACCGATTCATTGAAAATATGCATTGCCAGGTTTGAGGTCGAAAATGCCGAACTTAGAAAGAAGTTTGCTGAGATTGAAGTTAAGAATGCTGAGCTTAAGGCCAGAATTGCAAAATTGGAAGATAAGCAATTGCAAAACGAAATAGTTAAAAACTTATTATCTGTATCACGAAAGACATAATCATGGATTCTTGGTAGATTTCAGCCAGGGCATCCCAGTCAAAATCACGTGAATTTTTTGCCAATCGGAGTTTTCTAGCAGATCCCCTATCTGATGTGATGCAATCCGTGATATTGATGTGTAGCAAAGCACCTTCAGGAAAATTCTCAAAATTTTCTTATAAAATTTCTGAATCTATAAAATTCTCAAAATTTTTTATTAGTTACCTATGGTAACAATGACCGGTATACTAACACTATCTTTTCACGTATATTACTCAAAGCAACTTAACCAGCTCCCTTATTCTATCAAAATAGATGTATAGTGACGTCTTACTTCACAAAAACATCCATTATCGATAGAACAGGCAAGTAGTATTCATCCTGAAGTGAAAGATTTATTAAATAAGACGTTGGAAATTATATTAAGCAAAAAGAACGTCAGAAGATGAAGCCCATTACTAGCGACTGTGAAACTTCATTAAGGCAAGAAAATGAGGAATTGTGTATATAAAAGCAGGTATTGGAAAAAAAGATTGAAAAGCTTCTTGAATTGCAAGAGCAGTATAAGTCTCGTGAGGTAGCTATGACCAGATCTTTGGAGAAGAGTGGCGAGAAAGTCACCTAATTATCAGATTCGGTAGCTTTATTCAAAAGTATAATTCCTGATACGAAGAAAGCTATTGCATCAGCAGAAAAGTCTATTGACATGTTAAAGAATAAATGCTAGCAACTGAAGGATATTATTTCTGCTAAGGATAGGAAAATTATCGCTCTTGCTAATAAGATCTCTTCTTACACAAAATATAGTAATATAAATATAGAACCGGAAATATATTCCAGTACTAAAGAAAGGAAATTATGGGTGGAGAGGCGTAGCGAGTCTGAATATGATCTAAAAATCCGGAAAAAATATGCATTTCGTCTCACTTCATCAATAGCTTTGAGGGAGGATTCTATTCATTAGTTAGAGGTACTTTTTTTTAAAATTTAGTCCCAGCCAACGCGTATCCTGTGTGGATGCTCTCGAGGTACAGTTAGATCGAAAACAATGAATTTTTGCTCACATAAATGCTTGTTAATAATTTTAATTACACTATGCCAGTCATTAGCATATTGACGTACAATTCTGACTAGCTCATCTATAGTATATAACCCGTTAAATAGGCAGACATGTGTGAGATTTTTTCATATTATTTTTGGACAATCAAAATAACTCTGGGATACATATATTAAGCTGATATTATAGTGATGCCCCTCAACAAAATAAGGGATGATCTTCTCCTGCACTTTTTCGGGTCAGCGCATACATCTTCGAATATGGCTACTATACCTCTATCTGGAGAAAACAAATCCATCTTAGGGATTTTATTAGGTTTTAAAGCTCAGAATGTAATATTTTCACGATAGGTCTTTGGACTATTTGCAATTATCTGATACGTCGATTTGAGATACATATATTTTGGCTCCTTAAGATTGTGGTCAATTAATAGCAAATCATCATTCTTGATATAACGCGTCTCTCCTTTCTTTCCATTAAACATTTGATAAAGCTTATTTTCAAGCATGAGATTGAGAACCTTATTAGTCTTCCCTGAATTAGTACAGCCAGAGATTAGTAAAGTGAAAGTCTATTAGGGGACACTCAAATGTCCATTATATTTTTTGGCATCCTTAATCTCATAAATATAGTATACAAGCCTATCAACTGGTTCAAGCTTTTTTATTTTCATGTTGAACTATTACTAATGATATTTTAAAATAATTTTGCAAATTTGCGGGACCACGCAGTCTCAGAAAATGCCAAGAAAATAATTATATCCAACCTAACTGGAAGAACTATTCAAGAACCCTTTCTCGATTAGTGTATGTCTAATATACGGATATAAATCTGCTATATGAGGTACTTTAATAAGGCATATACCTTGTTTCTTGCATATATCTCACTTCTTCTGATCGCACATTTTCTATTCATCCAAATCTATCTGGCCTTTCCTATGAATATTAAATTAAGACTATAGTGTTGCTTGCCATGAAATTTGAATCCTAGTCACAACTCTTCGTTATATCCATCGAATTGCATCCCATCCAAAAAATTTGGCCTACATGATGGGAATTTCTTCCCTAACAGATCCTCAAAAATATATCAGCATTGGCGTTCACCGCTTCTATAGTGGCAAAGAGGACACTATTCGAATTTTTTCATGATATACTTTAATGGATACTCCCATTGATGCGCACTATTTTCACAAGACCAAAGATATACATCATACCCATTTATTTGCCTGGTCTTTTTAAGACATTGACCACCACGCTTCATGGCATAATCCTCAGCCTGAACTGATTTACTAGAAGCATGAACATAATGGATGAATCCAGTAGGATGGTATTTTTGCATAAATTCATCTGGCGAATATTCAATTTTATCAGGCTCTTCAATTTCTTGAAGTTCCTCATATTTAAAGGGCCTTTTAGGGTTTCGTCCTATCAGATG